GTATACATACGTATTGTCAGTTTGTGTTTATGAATACCATTGCAAGTTTCAAGAGCACGTTGCTCTTATGTTCGCCGCCCCGATAACGATGCTAAAGGGTTTCAATGACAGCACGAACTTGCAAAAATAGTCGGTTAAATCAATTTAGATCATGTTTTTCTGTTCGGTGTTCGTTTTTTTTTATCGGTTTGCGAAACACTGCACGATTTGTTTGCATCGTTCTCGGTATTTCAATTGAATTGTTCAATTGGTTTCGTCGTAAAATTGCCTGATTTGATTTGTGGATTTGTGTGTGCGGTATTGTGTCGATTCGATGAGTGACAATTTTTTGGAGGTTTCACAACTTGTACTCACAATGTAATTAAATAGTTAAGTTTCTTTCTCTCCGTCTCATTGGAAGTTTTTGATTCACCGATATCGATGACGGGATAACTCAATCCATTGGCGCTGTGGCTAAATCAATACTGTCCTGATTGGCATTGTGCAAAACGGAAAAGTAATCGAATCACGACAACAAGAAAAATAAAAAAGCGAGAGAGAAAAAAACAGTCTGCTAAAATGGTGTGGCTCACACGAGAGAATGGAAACGCAAGTGTAGAAAAGCACGTGCTCATTACTACTATCGACTGCTGTTCATCCGAGCATTTTCTCCTCGTTTCTTTTTCTTCATTTCTCTTGTTGGTTCATTTCCGAATGCTGACTTGAAACGACAGGCGATGCAACGAGTTGCGCGCACGCGGCCATATCCAACGAATGAATGGACCGCGCTAATAAAATGTGATATGCTGGACGGAACAAAATTGCACTTAATGACATTTGCTAAGTGTGTTTGCCGAGATAGTTAATTAAAAATGTACGATGTTTCGCATCTCAGTGCCAAAACAAGTCGATACATACGTATAATATTGGCTATTTGGTCGGACACTCGATGCAAACATCATTAGCAAACGAAGTGCAATATGTATCAATTTTATCAGGTCACTGTGAACATAAACAACACTCAACATGGATGTCGTTCGAATTCCATTTCCGCCAAAATCAATACACACACAGACAACAATAAAATGTATGGCTGACTTCGTTAACAACCGACATCGACGATGCCATTCTTCAACCGAATGTGACTGCGAATGGCAAACGTGAGAAATACAATTAAAGATATTGAATGAGGGTGCAAAGAAAATAATGTATATATGCATGAATCACTGTAAAATCCGTTGATGAATCATCGCTTTCTGCCGAATTTAATTGTCAATATTGCGTCAGTCGGTCGCATTGAACGTGAAGAGAAATAAAAACGACACCATTTATCCGAAATAAAATCAAATCCCACAAGGTTTAACTGTCGCAGTCTTGTTTTCGCTTCATTGACCCCGAAAGAAGTGGTGCTGCCATCCCTTTTGCATTTCGGGTTGCGGCTCATTCATTCGTTCGCCTTTTGTGATTGGTGCATTTGTGTTCCATTTTTCAGTAAATCTTTGAACGCAAACAGCGCGCGCCAGTTAGCACACTAGAGAGAGAAAGAGAAAGTGAGACAAAAACAAAACATTGATTTCTTCAAGATAACAACGCAGCGTTTGTATCATATTCCAAAATCGATGGATTCATTGCCGCAGTGAAAGTGCAGTGTTTCATCAAAATCAGCACAAAACTAAAAATAATCATGTTTTGAGGCTTTCACTTTCCATGCACAGCACACACAAACAATGTGAAACGTGATCTTTTTGCATTGTTGTACGTTTTGTTGGCACGGCTTTGTTATGATTTTTCGCTGAAAAATGACATATCAGCAAAAGGCAAATAACACAACAATGGCAGAGATTGAAACAAAAACACAGAGAAAGAATAAAAAAAGAGAACCTGTTCAAGATGGGAAATTGTGTCACGGTTAAAGCCCCCTTTTTTTACTGCGGCTCGATGTTTATCGGATGATCAAACATACATAAGTTGTGTGAAGCGCTAATGGAAACTGGCACGAACAGACATACATTTTTTTGGATTTTCGTTCGCATTTGTGTGAAAAAAGACAATTGAGATGCTCTCATTTTGCCACACATTTCACACTTATTGAGGATTTCTTTTTAAAATCAATAAAAACAATGATTTTATTTGCTGTCCTAAAATTGAGTGCTCAGCACAACACACATTCCTTTTAAATTCCAACAGCTTTTCCTTTTACGTTCCTGGCTTTTTTTTTCATTCGTTTTCCCGTGTGTAGTGGTCTTTATTGCGAAACGTTTAAATCGTTTTTCTTATCTTTCTGGTTGAGAGCTTACATTTTAATAAATACATATGTTTGGTATAATTCGACGCTTATGTTCGCTTCAATTCACGGAACGTGAAAAATCACTCCCGTTAAATTTTGCGTGCAATTTGAACATTTCACTTAGGATAGATTTTATCGCAAAATACGAACCATATACATTGTGGTCTGTTTTGGTGGAGCAAACGCCACTGGTTATCGCTACTGTTTTTAATTTTTTCATTTGATGATTTTAGTTTCACGTAAACGCAGAAGAAGGAAACGATCATACACACACCATATAATCAAAATGAATGTGATCCATGAATCTGCACCATTTCAATCAATGGGCTACAGTCCTTCAGACCTACAGTATTTATAATTGTAAAATTACCACTAAACTGGTCGTGTGTGAACGAACAACAAAGAGAGAGGAAAAACGCGTCGACGTCGCCGAAATGAAGTGTTTGTGTGCGACAAATTGTGCGAAAGCGCAATAAATCCTTCGAAGTTATAAAAATGGATTTCGGTTGTGAGGCAAAGAGAAGTGGCGCACAAAAATGGGTCACAAAATTAATGATGATGACAATGCGCGACGACAATCACACCGAATGTGCTGTCATCGAGCTTTTAAAGCCTTGCACACTAAAAATACTCCATAAGTACGCAGAGAGGATACACAAACATACATTCATTCCAAGAGAGGGGGAGAGAGACGAAAAAACCGAAACAAACAATTACCGAGTGGATCGTCGTTTGTCAAATTAGTTGCAAATAATTTACATAATGTTCTCTCATAGACAAAAACAACAACAGCAGCAACCCATAGAAAAATCAGTATTCTGCTTTTCATAGTTCATGTTTAATGATAATTCATAAGCACAACATAGTGTCAAAACCCTATTTACAAAGTAAATTACAGTTTCATTTAATCAAATAGCAGCAAAGGGAATGAACAAAAAAAAGAAGAAGCTATAACATTACCCAATATAGCGGCATTTTTGTTCGAACCAAATGAAACAAATACACAATGACCTCTATTTCGTTTAGCACAATTTCGTTTCGAGTGAGCGTTAGATACTATTATTGCTTTGGCATAACAGTTCGATCCAGTGTATACACACACACAAAAACGAGTGGGTGAGAGTGCGATGTATGGTGGGTTTATGCATGAGCGTCAATATTTATGGACGATAGCCTTAAATTAGCAACGGTGGCACATAGTGCGATGTGAATCGTTAATAGAATTCATGGTGTTATCGAAATCTGTTCGGCCATGAGTGTCGAGGCGTGAAAAAGCTGTGCTGGTGCTGTGTGCATGTGTGTATATGTGATTGTGTGAAAAATGGATTGATATTAGTTTGAGCGATAGTTTTGGTTTCGAAGTTTTTTTTCCCTTTGTTTTTCGTTCCATTCCTGCAAGTCTTGCGTTAACGATTTGGCAGAACATTTGTTTTTGGTTTCTATGCCTTGACCCCTCCTATCTCTTATCCAGTATCGTGATTTTAATAGTATCAACGTCCGGTCGATGGGAATTCATTTTTATTCGTCTTGAATATTTGAAATTCAATTTTGGTTTTCGTAACATTTCATTATGTCGACAGACCGTCAAATCACAAGAAAAATGATGTATTTAACTAGTTTGACACGGCACAAGACCAAACACTTAAATGTGGATATGTTTAATCACCAGCTGCGTTTGAATTAAGCGATTTTAGCTTGATCTTGGGCAGAAACAAACAACCCTGCAGCAGGATCCCTGCTGTTTGAAATCCATTTAATGTGACATGACCTCCGCTACTCAACGTAATTGTACATATTCTTTCCAGTTACTGAAAAGAAAAGAACCGAAAGCATAAAAGCACGACGGAAAAAAAGCTTGACGAAGAAAGGATGAGAGAAAAAAAGCAGTAAAACAATAAAAATCATATGAAAATCATGTCGTTTTGTAAGTGGCCCAGAATAGTATGTTACCGTGTGCCAATTATACCATTTCGACAATTTGGTTGCAATTTTGTTCGACAGAGCGAAAGCGAGCGAGCAAAAGCATGGTGGAACAAATTCACTTCCTTTTTCGAACCTAATTACACACGTTCAGAGCATTTACATTGTGTATAAAAATGGAATGAAATGTATTATTAGAGATTAAATTAGCTGAAGTGTCATTAACATAGTTAAGCATTGACAATAAATTTTTGTTTTTCTCTGCATTGTGTGGATCGCGAGCGTGCGAATTGCGATATACGTGGATGAACATGCGAATAGCGATATACGAGCATGTTGTTCGAAGAGTGGAAACAGGAGTCGTTGTCGCCGTCGTCGCCGCTTTTTTTCTGTTTAAATGTGAAAATATGTGTTTTCATGGCTGGTACTCAATCGACTTGTTGACTTTGTACACAATTTACTGGTTAACATTACAACGATGGTCCGACGAATGAGCAAAGGAATAACAAAATCCAACATCCGAATTTTAATTGTTTACGTTGAAGCATTTGGTTTTCTCGTTTGTTGTTGGTGTTGTTTTTCTTCTTCATTTCATTTAATTTGTAGCCATTCCGTAGAAATGTGTGTAAAACTTAATAGTTGTGATTAGTTTGACTGTCAAATAAAATTCATTTTTTTCACATTTTTTCTCATTTTTCTCTAATTAACTTTGAATTGTTTCTTCTCCGGCATCGTTTTTTTCTCTACAATCTCTGGTTATGGCTGGCTGTGTTCCGGTTTGGTGCATTGCAACGCAACGAACGATTACGTACAGAACTACCACTCGAAAATCGAAACCACATTATCAAGAAAACTCGCCATCCTTTTATCGACGTGATTACCAAGGGGGCTTACAAAGGGCCCCCGTTTCAGCGCATAGTATGGAGTTTTTACGCGGCATCTATGCTTTTATGCAAGTTAGTCGTTCATCGGTAAGTGTGTAACCAAATGCATCAGCATTCTATCTACTTGTTTTTCTTTCCTTCCCTGTTCTATTTCGTTTTATTTATCTCTCGAAAGCCCCAAAAATGGCAGGCAGTGCAAGCTCTTTTCCTCAAACAAACCCATTAAAATCGGTGCTAAAACAAAAACCGCGAAAACGATCAAACTTCTAAAATGTAAATAGAACTTTCACTGCAACCGTGACCAACTGCAAAACCATGTGTAGTTTGTAGTGTGTTCTTTGTTTTTCATTTCTATCTTTCTATGTCTCTTTCTTTGACTCAATTTTAAGTTTGAATTTAATTTGTTTCGTTTTTTTCCCCGAAAAAAAATTAAATTAAACTTGTTTCTTTTCATTTTTTTTATCCTCTCTGTCTGCGTATGCTCTCCTTATCTTCCCACGTTACGTTGTCGTTCATGCCTTGTTTCTTTTTGGTTGCTTGGTGAAACAAAATAAACGCAAATAACCATTAAAGCCGCTCACAATAACTACTCTTTCAAAACAATACCAAATACACATACCTAATAAATATTCCCGTTTAAGAGCGGTAAATAAATCGCAACAATCGATTTGCATTAATTGAATGTGTGCGAAGGACTTTTGAGAAAATGACGGTAATTTGAATACAAAAAAAAAATCAAACACACACAACCGAGACAAACAACAAAATTTACCACAAAACAAATTCAATCAGCAACAAACTTATAACTCGTTGCTTCGACCTATATAAATTCGGAAATTGCATCGAAACACCATCCAATTGAACAAAAAATTAATCTCATTCTTGTTTCAAAACACATATAATTATTATAAATAATGTAACAAGCCCAAAATCAATCAATTAGCTCAGTTCAGTTTTATTACCGCATTTGATTTAGTTTTCGTTTGAGGTTTGCTCATCATTAAGATTTTCAGTTCAATACATTGAATCAACAATCTATTCATATGCTCGCTCTATCTCATTCAAGTCATGTTACTATTCCGCATATATGTGGTTGAGTTCGAGAGACGGAACAAAACTATGTAAAAAGTCCATAAAGATAATGGTCTTGCCATTTGGTTTTTCTCTTTTGATTTCAATTTATCGCTAATCGCCGATACATACTATCTTATATTTCATATATAAAATCCTGCACACAAACACCAGACCGCACATAGATAAAATACCTCTTCCCCCTCCACAAAGAATAATACCGATCCAATTTGCAGATTTTACAAACGAACCAAAAATAGCAACAACAAAATCAATCCTATCATTGCGTGCAAAATGTATATCAAGTCCTTAAAACAAATATAAGAGCTATAAAACTTTAGTAAATGATGATTGAGCATGTTTCATGCTGCACTCAACATTCTACGCACCGTTTTCTTACTATTATTGCCATTTATTCTCTTCCTTTTCGTTCAAACATTCTTCTTTTGTGTTTATTCTTCTACTTCTTCTTCTTGTGTTATTCGAATTATATTTTCTGCGGCGAAATTTATTTGAATTCTATTAATCGGCCAATTTTGATTCGGTCCATGGCATACACAAAAATGTTTTCTTGCCATTTTCTCTCTTCTTTCGTTTCTCATGCAGGCACATCATGTGAAAACCGATTCAGCTGTATTCCGTTTACATACAAATGCAACCGTAATTTTACTCGTTACATTTTCAATAGCCGTCACTACCCGGCAATACGTTGGAAATCCCATAGACTGCGTTCATACGAGGTAAGTCGATTCGTACCATTTCTTTTTCCCAATTCATATTCCATTGTGATCTCCACTCAATGAGGAAAACTGGATGTGAAGCACTTTCCATTGGAAAACTCCGGTTGATGTCTACGATGAACGTGAAGCTTTCCCAAAATGTGTCTCAGCTAAAATGGAAGCTCACTGAGAAAAACACTCCGTTGTTTGTGAAAAAAATGCTCGATTTTTGAGCAGTTTTCCATGTTGAGTCACTTTTTTTTGATCGTTGAGTATTTCTATTCCATCCAGTTTTCTTTGAGTGCTTTTCCGAATTTTACTCATTTTTACACGCTGTTTTACCGTTTGCAGAGATATACCCGAAGACGTACTAAATACATATTGTTGGATTCATTCAACGTACACAGTTGTCGATGCATTTATGAAGAAACAGGGATTGGAAGTGCCTTTTCCAGGTATAGATAATTCACAAGGTGGTCGGGGACCGCTCACGATAAAACACAACAAATATTATCAATGGGTAGCATTTACACTATTTTTCCAGGTAAGTACCACCATTCTTGATGCGCATCAATTCAAATACAAAATTTAATCAACGTTTGCTTTAGCCAAAGAAAACATTTGTTTTCTTGAGCCGAGAATTTCAAGTCACAACTGGATCGGGTCATGAATTCGACTCGAAAGATACATGTTTGTTGAATGTTCGTGCGGTGACATGATCACCTTAGAGCAAAACCGTCTTGCTTACGTCAAAATCTCTGACCGAAATTTTCACATAAATTTAAAGCATCCAATGAAACCCATAAATTAGGTTTCTCAATTAAAAAAAAACCAACACCAACAAAAACAACAACCGTTTCATCTTTCGCTTTTGTGAACGATGAAAACGATCAGTCTTTAAAAGAGTATGTCTGCTAATAAGCCGATTCTGGTTTTCCCTTCGGAAAGATAAAGCGCATTTTAATCGTTTTTTTATTTACATCATCAACTGATAATAACTAATTACCAACAATTTCCGCTTCGGAAATTGGCGCGAATAGTCATTCACGCACAATCGCCACAAGCGTTCTTCAGGCTCAATTTATACACCTTACTTAAAATCAAAATAACACAGCAATGAAGCAAAATAAAAAAAAACGTTTTTAAACGTGACAGCGTGTGTGTTGTAAATGAACCGACATTTTTCAATCTGTCAATTGGCAAAATTTGTGGGCGTGGATAGAAAAAAAAACGAAATCCCATCGTTCAGCTTTAAATCAATTTTCAAACGTCAACGCCAACATTAGGTTATCTTTATTCTATGTTATGCGATGATTGGAGGAGCCAGCACGCAGGAAAAGTGCTTGACGTGTGTTTACGTTGACATCAAAATGATGAATTGTTTGTAAGAAAACAATCTCGATAAAACAATTAATACAATTTTCCGAGGCAAGCCAAGTAGCCAGCGACAGTCACGAAAATAAATTGAAAATCAATGAGCGACAGCCATGTACATATCATTGAGAGGAAAAAAATGAAAATATTTTCGCGTACATGATTCGTAACACGCTGCCACATCAGCATCGTACAGCTCAAAGTCAACAGCGTAGACATTTGCGACATTTGCGATGTGAATGTTGAAATGATGATTCACAGAAATTCCTAACAATAATATGATGCACACGAGATACACTCGAGATTTTCCGTTATACTTCTGAAAATCCATAAAATTTATCTCAACGATGAATTTTAATGGCATTTCCGATTATTTCGACAAGAATTTCAAGGAATAGAGAAAAAACGAGAACTAATATTGAATTTCTGACTACTATTTGCCACGAGTACACATTTCAAATATTGCTTGAGTTCATAGTAGCGCGCCACAAATATGAAACTCTTCGCATGCATCACGTTCTCAATGAAATACCAAGCAACGATGTGTCACGGGAAAAACAGCCTAACCTACAGTTAAAACGATGCACCATTTGTAACAATGTAAAATAGTTTTGAAATTAACGGTTTTCCCCAATTGGCGTTGCATCGAAAAAAGTAGCCATTTCCATGATAAAACTATGATACCTCAGGGTATTCAAACAATTTGCATCATCAACAGTGTCGAGTTTTTTTTTCATTTCAAAGGCACGCATTTCGCAAGGGAAAACAAAGGCGAAAAAATGGTAGCATGCATTGGTAATTATGCTTCGTAAACATCTATGAAATCAAAACAATTTTTTTCGATGCCCACTAATTAACACACGGAAAATGCCAGCGCTGTTGTTCCAGTGTGAGTGAGTTTGTTGTATATTGATTTTCTAATTTTACTCGCTCGCCACAAAACCGAAGTGTAAACATGGTTTTTCACTTTCGCTGTTTTTGTTCTTCCTTGTTCTAGCCTGCGCTCGTGTATTTTTGTTGAGTAACAAGCGACAACCTTTCATTTTATTTGAAACTATTTCCTAATATTGAAAAAATCGTTTCATTGGAATTTCGGTGGCGTTCGAAACTCCGTGTGCCTGTGCATTCCTCTAGACAAAAGACATGTACCCTGCCAAAATGTCAACAGATGATCGACAATTATACAATTAGTCGATGTTCGACATTCCCCATTTGTGTCGGGTGACAATATACGCGTCACACGTACGTCGCCGGTCTCACAAAACGTGATGATGATGAACTTGCGTTTGGTTTTAAATCAAGTGAGCCATAATTACGTGGCTTTGCGACTTGAACGCGTAACAACTTGAAAAACCATAAAGAGATACATTTTAATGGAGCCGCGATTAGTGTTTTTGAATATTTTGTTTGTTCTGTGTACTGATACACATAAAGTAACTGGCTTATGAGGCTCGGTTAGTTTTTATGTTAGGTGATGTGACGAAACAATTTCCCCAACTGTTTTCCCGCAGCAGTTTGTATCGGTTTGCTTCTTTTTTCCGATTGCATCAATTTCATTATTTTGGTTATTTGTGTGTTTATTGTGTGATGCTGGCTGGGCTGGTGAGCCCCGAACACAAAAGCCGATCAGGAGAAAATGTGTTTGTGTATTTCTCTGATTGAAACTGAATAAATAAATCAAATGATGCTGTTTACGCTACGTTTACGAGCGCTAAACTTCTCAACGCCTGCCATCGCTTCAACACCAAATGCTGTTCACATTTGAAATGGAGTGAAGCACGTGATTGTGTTTGCCCTCCTCTCTCTCTCTCTGTAACTCTCTCCCACCAATCGATGAGGATCGCTTCGTCTGACATTTTCTTCTTTCTGCTTCTCATTTCATTCCGCTTTGTTAGCCGCTTCGTTCGAATTATTTTGGCTTTTTACACCGTTTGTAACATTCACAAATGGTTCTATAAATGAATTCGAACGATGATTGTGTGTAATGATTTCATTTTCAATCCGATTTAACAATATTCGAAATGTGTTTATTTAACGCTGAACGATCGCATAAATGAATCGTATTTTAAAAATGTTCAACATTTAATGCGGTCGGATCATTTGTTTTCAATATCTGCATTTTATTCGAAGCATTGAACATGTTGCTGCTTATTGCGCGCAGTACACAACCGCATACACACTCACTCACACACATCCATTCGCCATCGATTTGAGAGAAAATCCAATCTGTGGTTTGGATTTATTTATTTATTTTCATTCATAAGATGGATTTCGGTGTGAGTCTGCCTAAAGGTTAATTAAAGTTAGTGTGGCTTCCATTTTTCACATCAAATGTATCTCACAATTAATTTAATTTACTTCCATTTGCCATTTTCAAATCAATTATCTAATTCGAACTCAATTAGAGGAATTCCGGTGAATTGGTGGGCCATTTGGCCATTTGAACGAATCAAACTTGCACGTTTGACTTTATAAATCAAATGGCATCTCACCTTCACGAAATTGATTTTTCCGATGCGACAAAAAGTTTCTCCTCCCTTTTCTCCCGTTCTCTCTCATTCTCGTTACAAATCGTGCCGTCGACTCGGCCGATGCAGACATTAACTGCACAAAGCCCATATTTGATTCGTGACAAAAGTAGAAAATCTTTCCAAAAATAGTCACTTTGGCTGCGATGCTATTTATAAAAGGATATCATAAATCGTGAACATGTCATTAAACTTTGTTTATGTTTACAGTTGTTGGGATGCGGAAAATCGTGATACAATCGCAAACTGAGCGCAAATCAAGAAGGAATCATGTGTGTTAATGGGAATGGTTATGTTAGTTCTTGGCTCTGTGTCATGTCAAAACTCGACCGGCTTCATGCGGCGATATATATCGATTAATTCGCAATCATATACTTTGTATTTTAAAATGAATCTCACACTCTGCGGCTCTTTTGTCTGCGCGTTCTCTCTCTCTCTCTCTCTCTCATCAGAACAGCCGCAGTGAGTTGATGGCGTATTCTTGTTTTGATTGTGTGAGTATCGTCGTCATAATAAATTATAACAAAATTGTCTGCTGTTCAACATAATCAAACACAATCATCTGAAATGTCTCATCATCGCACAGAAAATCTGTCATGGCGTTCGCCGACTGTGTAATTTGTCATTCTCTCGGGTTGGCTTCGACAAGGCATTCATTTTCGAACCGACAGCGAGAGATAGAAATTACTTGAATCATTAGCTGCCAATTGACGGCATCTCGATAGATCAATCTTTAAAATTTACATTAAAAACCATGTGTGCGCCACAAGCCGAAAACAAAATGACCGAAATAAAAGTGATAATTTTATGGTAAATTCAACGAAATAGTTTGCGTTAAACGCATAACACAATGGACAAGCGAGTCCATTTGGTCGTCACACACATACACATACATACACACGCACCCGGACCGCAGTGTGTGATAGTGATCTCGATTTAGCAATAGATTTTCATACAATAAAATGCTTTCGGATCTATTTTTCGCACAACGCACAATAGGAAGAGCGGGCGCGCGAGCGATATAAAAACACAAAAGCCAACACACCAACTTGCATCACGTAGTATTGTGTAGAGAGTCATTAACACGATATAGGATACACCAAACAACATGAAATGAAAGAAAAATAAAAGCAAATTTCTTTGCTTTGAAAATATGGCAACCAACACATGCACGGTCACACTACTGTCGGTAGTGTCGATCGCATGCGAACGTCTTTCAGTTCCGAATTAGACGAAAAAGATACACGATGTGAGTTAATGCCGGTGATGCGTTTGTTAGTCGAAATCAGTTCGATTCTCGATGCGTGTTCCACTGTATACTCTCACCGAGCATTCATATTTTTGGTCACAGTTCGAATTTTCACGTCGTGATGCTCACACACTCGATATCATCGCGGAATCGTGGGACGCGCGCGCGATCACACTCAAATATACACATTTTCTCCGTAGTTTGATGTGACATTTTATTCACCGTTCAAAACGAGCTTCATTAAAAAAATCACTTTGGACACCGTGTATTTCTATCTCAATTTGATTAACGCCACATTTCGACATTTTTAAATTGAGTGTGACACTTTTCATTGCGTTTTGATTGTAAATTCCATCAATTCTTTTTCTTTCGTTTTAAAATAATTATGTGCAA